CTCTTATCTTGTTCTTGGTGGGGAGCACGCCGGCGGCGGAGAGGAGGAGGGTGGCTGTGGGGGGCGTGCGCAGTTGGAAGTGGAAGGAGCGGTCTGGGCGGACGGTTATGCGTGCGGGGATGGGGGTGCCGGGGGTGTAGTGCGCGGTGCGGGCGTTGAACTCCTGTATCATAATCAGTATACATGAATTGGGTATGCGACGATGTAGTATGAGGATATGCGACAGTCGGGGCGATTGGTAGACGTACTTTGCAGAAATCCATGCTCTTCACACCTTTACTTCCCAGCGCGGGACCGACGGGCGGCGAGGGCGACGCTTGCCCTGCGCCTACGATCAATTTGACGATTTGGTCTTTTGCTATTGCTTTTCGCGCCATGGTTGGGTGGGGATGTGGAAGTGTGTTGGGGTGGGTTGCTGGGGGAATTTGCGGAGATGGGCTCGGAGGTGTCGGTCACAGGGTTTTTCGGGATATGGAGAGGTGGGGGATTGACGCGTTGGACGTATGAAAATAACGGGAATGCGATAAGAAAGTAACTGAGATACGGACTCTAGGTATGATGGAGATTTTGGATGTTGGTGGGATGACGATGCTGCCTGTCGCGCCACGTGACGACGTGATTGAGCTAACAATCTACGCGTCGAGATTCCGCCACCTGCGAGCACTGATCAGCACTCCCGCACGACACTCCCTTTCCTCCCATCTCCCACCACATCGACCTGATACAGGCTGCCAAACCTCACAGTGCCTATCACAAGTGTCAATTCCTCATGCATCGGCCAAAAACTCTCGCAGCGGGCGAGGCCACCCCGGCGAAGCCCGCGGCGCGTCTTTATGGTGGCACTCCTCAGTCAACCGAACGCCTCATCAAGCCTTTCCGATGTCCCGGCTCAGCAACAGTATCCAGTGTCTCAACGAAGCCCGCAAGAAAAAGGAGGAAGGTCGATTACTCCGGTGCTGGAGGTGAAGATGGAGAGAGCGATAAGCCATACTCGAATGAAGACCGCTTAGCCCTCGCCACACGAGACGCAAACCGATTTCCCGTCTTCAAGCCTAAAGACAAAGATACTGCGTTCAGAACCAAGTTCATCGTCCCTTTAGTCAACAAGGATGTTGGCGCCTACAATCCAAATCGGCCAGCGCCGCTGCTTGGTATGCGAACCGGAACTGTCTTTGTTGCGCGACCGCTACACGACCCTAGCGGAGAGTTTGCGATAGTACTCTACGATCCCACAGTTGACGACAAGCCAATACCGAAGGAAGAGGCGGAACCGAAGCTGAGTCAGACAGAGAAGAAGGAGATGGAGGCGCCGCTGGTACACAAGAGTTTGGCGGAGATACTGGGGTTGAAGAAGAAGGTGGACAATGAGCGACCGCGCGTGCCAGTCGTCATTGATCCGAGACTTGCAAAGGTTCTGCGACCGCATCAAGTCGAGGGCGTGAAGTTCTTGTACCGAGCCACGACGGGTATGATCGATCCCAAGGCGAACGGGTGCATCATGGCAGACGAGATGGGTCTCGGGAAAACGCTGCAGTGTATCGCGCTCATGTGGACTCTGCTCAAACAGTCACCCGACGCCGGCAAGTCGACGATACAAAAGTGCGTCATCGCTTGTCCGTCAAGTTTAGTGAGGAATTGGGCGAACGAGCTTATCAAGTGGCTTGGGAAGGACGCTGTCACACCCTTTGCGATTGACGGCAAGGCATCGAAGGAAGAGCTCATCCAGCAAATACGGCAATGGTCGATCGCATCCGGGCGTGCAGTCGTCAGACCTGTCCTCATTGTGTCATACGAAACCCTGCGCCTCTACGCCGACGAGTTTGGACAAACACCTATCGGCTTGATGCTTTGCGACGAAGGCCATCGACTGAAGAACGGCGACAGCTTGACCTTCACCGCGCTCAACAACCTGAACGTACAGAGGAGAGTTATCCTTTCCGGTACACCCATCCAGAACGATCTGTCGGAGTACTTTGCGCTACTCAACTTCGCCAACCCCAACTACCTCGGCACGCGCATGGAGTTCCGCAAGCATTACGAGATCCCTATTTTGAAGGGTCGCGACGCGAACGGAACGGATGCGGATATCAAGAAGGGTACTGAGCGACTCACCGAGCTTCTCGGTCTGGTCAACAAGTTCATTATCCGGCGAACCAACGACATTCTCTCCAAGTACCTGCCAGTCAAGTACGAGCACGTCGTATTTTGTAACCTCGCGCCATTCCAGAAGGATTTGTACAACCACTTCATCAAGTCACCAGATGTCCAGAGTCTACTCCGCGGCAAAGGTTCGCAGCCACTCAAGGTCATCGGTATGCTCAAGAAGCTATGCAACCATCCCGACCTACTCAACCTACCAGAAGACTTGCCAGGCTGCGAAGACAAGCTTCCAGACGACTTCGTACAAAAGGACGCGCGAGGGAGGGATCGCGAGGTCAAGACATGGTACTCCGGCAAGATGGCTGTCCTGGACCGCATGCTGGCTCGCATCCGCGCCGAGACAAACGACAAGATCGTCCTTATCTCCAACTACACGCAAACCCTCGACATCTTCGCCATGCTATGCCGCTCACGCGGCTACGGCTGTTTCCGTCTCGACGGCACCATGAACGTAAGCAAGCGCCAAAAGCTAGTCGACAAATTCAACGACCCCGAGAGCCCCGAGTTTGTCTTCCTCCTCTCCTCCAAAGCCGGTGGCTGCGGTCTCAACCTCATCGGCGCGAATCGCCTCGTCCTCTTCGACCCTGATTGGAACCCCGCTGCTGACCAACAAGCCCTTGCGCGTGTATGGCGTGACGGACAGAAGAAAGATTGTTTCGTGTACCGCTTCATCACCACCGGTACCATCGAAGAGAAGGTCTTCCAGCGGCAGTCCCACAAACAGTCTTTGTCGTCTTGTGTCGTCGACAGCGCGGAGGATGTGGAACGCCATTTCTCACTCGATTCTCTCCGCGAGTTATTCCAGTACCGCGATAACACTACGAGTGACACACACGACACGTTCAAGTGTAAGCGCTGTAGGAAGGAAGATGGAAGACAAGTCGCGAAAGCGCCGGCGATGCTGTATGGTGATACGAGTACGTGGAACCACTTTGTTAATGATGGCGAGACGGGGCCGTTGGGCAAGATTCAGGATTTGTTGTTGAGGCAGGAGACGGGCGATGGGTTGAGGGATGTTAGTGCTGTGTTTCAGTATATTAGTCATTGAGTGGGTGGTGTGGTGTAGGTGTGGGATGAAGGTGCTGATAAGTACGATGGAGGTGTTGTCAGCATGTGTCATTTGCATAATTCTTTCGATGTTTTAATGTTCATGCAGCGTGGTGTTAAGATGGGCGGCGTTAGCGAGTGGGTTATGATAATGAATATGATATCTTTATGCTGGCGAGACTTTGTCGCTGCGCTTACGAACTCATGTCGCCCATGTTTGCATCTCGCATATGAACTTGCGAGCAAGCATCGCGGCTGCCGAAACCTACCTGTCGCGCTATGATCATGACGCACACTCGCCTATCTTGATGGGCACATATTCCTAAAGCGAACGTGCCGTGTAATCGCTGTTGCTCCATTCGCGGAACGCGTTGCGTCATGCTCTTTGAAACAATGACGGAGTCACATCGGATGGAGTGATCGATGTGGTTGGTGCGGCCAACCGCGAATGTTGATTTGCAATCCGCGGTCATTGGCGTGGTGGCTTCTTGGTTGGGAGGGAAGTCGCGACTTGATGTTGGGGTCGGACGGCAGGTATTGGGTACGGAGCAAAACGGCGAAGGGTTTCCAAGGTTGTGATTGTGGTTCATGTTCTGCCGTCGATGCGTGATTATGCCGCTTGTCATAGGTCTTGTGTGGACGTTAGTACTTTCTTTGTTTAGGTCGCGGATAGTGCTGCGCTTTAACAAAGGATGTTGAAGGTAACATGGTAAGCTCAAGAGCATATGCTATTCTGTGCCAAAGTACTGTTTAGCACTGTGAGTATGATATTGTTAGCGGGTATGGAACATTCCTCCGGGGCCTATAGACCGAGTGTAGTGTCTGCAGCAGAACCATGGTGTTCGCTCCATTCATGCCAGGCACAGTACCAAAGTCTGCGATGACTTTCATGCTGATACGTGCCACACTCTCACCATGCGCAAGAGTTCCAGTCAATGGCTACCATCAGTACCGTTCATACGCAAACTCACCTATCACCATCACACCATTCTTCTCTCGTCCCCACTTTTACCTTTACCGTTCCTTCCCTTCACGGCGGCTGCCTATGACGTAGCCCCACTGTTGTGACTCTTCTACACCCGCCCGGGCATGCTTCAGCCAACTCACCTCTCACCTCTCATCCATGGTTCCATCGGTACCAGTCTCTTACCTACCAGGCTGCTGTCCACGCTAGTCTCTGAGACGCCATATAGCTGGCTCCCCTCCCGCCTTTCTTCCTTCCTCCTACACTCTTCTTCCTCTCAACTTCCATCAGCCCACTCTGTGAAGACCAGCACCTGGAAAGCGCCTACCCTGAGGCTACAAGAACTTTTCATCTGACGAACCAACGAAACGTACGGCGTTGTATCCTCCAGGCTCAGGTTTTGTCTCCATCTTGTTGCGGACAAGTTGAGGATTTCACGAACTTTTCATCTGACGAACCAACGAAACGCACGACGTTGTATCCTCCAGGCTCAAGTTTTGTCTCCATCGTGCTGCAGACAAGTTGAGGATTTCACGAACTTTTCATCTGACGAACCAACGAAACATACGACGTTGTATCCTCCAGGCTCAAGTTTTGTATTCATCTTGTTGCGGACAAGCCTCGTTGTAGTCGGCAACCGAAGTTTCCATCCCGCTAGCTAGCTCGCGCCACCTGGTCCGAGCTCCAACATTTCGTAGTCCAGCTCCACCATCCGAGTGAACCCTCGACGCCCACAAACCTCGCGCGCATACGCATACCATACCCTCGACTCGACACCACGCTCCCCCCGAATCGCGCGACCGCCAACACACTCGAACTACCGCACATCATGGATTCCAAACGCCGCAAGACCGGCGACCAGGATGTCAGCGCCTTGAGGTTGGCGTCGCGCCAGAAATACCTTGCCGAACGCGAAGCGCAACAACTCGCCCTACTCCGCCGCCAGGTCGCCGAGGAAGCAGAAGAGGAGGCGAGGTTGGGGAACAAGCTGAGCGAGAGAGAAAGAGCCGAGTTTAAGAAGAATCGTCAGACCCTAGAGCTGGCCGAGGCGCGAAATGCCATCGACGATTCCCGACTACAGGATGGCTTTCATTTTCAAACGGACTCGGATAACCCCCTCCTAGAGGGTACCGCGAGTAAAAACGACGTACTTTATCGTCGACACAACGACGCGTACGACTCCAGGCCTCAGCATGATAATTCTAATGACTACATGTCTGGTCCAAATATCCCTCAACCTCAGGACCAAGACAACATGTACGAATACGTTTTCGATACAGCCAACGAGGTGCGCTTCACAGCGGAGGATGTAGCTCGCATGGACCCTGCCAAGCAAGCTCTTGAAGCTCAACTCAATGCCGCGGAGAAGCGAAGTTTGTCAATCCAAGAAACTCGCCAATCCCTTCCAATCTTCAAGTATCGACAGGAGTTACTCGATGCTGTGGCCAACCACCAGACCCTCGTTATGGTCGGAGACACTGGAAGCGGCAAGTCTACGCAAATGGTTCAGTATCTTGCCGAAGCAGGTTATACGAAGACGGGCAAAATATGTGTCACACAACCGAGACGCGTTGCGGCTATGAGCGTTGCCAAACGCGTAGCAGAAGAGTACGGCTGCAAGATTGGCAACGAGGTCGGCTTCGCGGTCAGGTTTGAAGATAAGACGTCGGAAAAAACTGTCATGAAGTTTGCCACGGACGGGATCCTGTTGCGAGAAGTCATGGCAGATCCGCTCCTAATGCAATACTCGGTGATTATGATCGACGAGGCTCACGAAAGGTCCATTGCTTCCGACCTTTTGCTTTGTCTTTGTCGCGAAGTTTGTCGCGCCAGACCGGAATTCAAGCTCCTCATCCTCTCTGCAACTATCAACGCCACCGAGTTCTCGGAATACTTCGACCGGGCGCCTTGCTTTTTTGTGGAGGGACGGAATTTCCCAATTGTGAGTTCATTGTCGATTCGCACATGAGACATATACTGATCTATCTTAGGACATCCGCTACACCGTTGCTCCAGAAGCAAACTACCTAGCCGCAGCATGCACGACTGCTTTACAAATTCACTTGGCATCACCTCTTGACCATGGCATGGGCGGAATCCTTATATTCCTCACTGGCGAAGAAGAGATCCTGGCTGCTGTGGAAAATCTCGAAACAACTATGAAGAAACTCGGGAGCAGGGTGCCAGAGCTTATCGTTCGTCCTCTGTATAGCGCGCTATCCAGTGATGCCCAAGCGAAAGTGTTTGAGCCGACTCCGCCCAATGCTAGGCTCGTTGTAGTTTCGACGAATATTGTAAGTTTTACCCATACATGGATTGATGAAGAACATGTGCTAACTTTGTACGCCTAGGCTGAGACATCACTCACAATCGACGGAATCAAGCATGTCATCGACTGCGGCTACGAGAAGGCCCAGACTTACGACCCCGTCAGCAACGTCAGTTCGTTGACTATCAGCCCTATTTCTCGAGCATCTGCGAACCAAAGAAGTGGTAGAGCTGGAAGAACATCACATGGTCAGTAATGCCCCTATATGAAATGCATTTGAGGAATATACTAATTTCGTACGTTAGGTTATGCATACCGCCTGTATACGAAACACGCTTTCTACAACGAGCTCCCCGAGCAGACAGAGCCCGAGTTGCTCCGTAGCAACTTGGATGGTGTTGTCTTGACCCTCAAAGCGCTGAACATTGACAACCTCCTCGAGTTCGAATTCTTCACAGCTCCCAGCCCCAGTTCTATGATACGTTCTTTAGAGTCGCTCTACAGTTTGGCTGCGTTAGACTCGACCGGGAGGTTGACGAAACTGGGACGGAGGATGGCCGAATTACCGCTTGACATCAGATTATCGAAAATGGTGCTTGAGTCAGAACGCTACCAATGCCAGCAACAAGTGCTCAGTATCATCTCGGTCCTCAGCGAGGCAAGCAGCCTCTTCCTCAGACCAAAAGACAAGAAGGTAGCAGCTGATGCGGCAAGAGCAAGATTTTCAAGCACCGAGGGCGGTGATTTCATGACCTATCTCAACATCTGGAACCAGTACGAGGAAAGCGGCTTCGATAGTCGTTGGGCTACTGAGAATTTCCTCCAGTGGCGATGTCTCAGTCGGGCTAGGAACGTTCGCGATCAGCTTCAGAATCTTTGCGACCGCGTTGAAGTACCGTATTCGAGTTGTGGCAGCACAGATCACGTCGCCATCCGGAAGTGCATAACTTCGGCCTACTTCGGCAACGCTGCGAGGCTTGCGCGCGATGGGCTGAGTTACCGCACAGTATCGAACAACGGGATGACGGTATTCATACATCCCTCCTCAAGCTTGATCGAAAACCGGCCAAAATGGATTGTCTTCTACGAGATCGTAGAGTCGTCCAAGACTTACGTACGATCCGTCCTACCCATCCAACCAGAATGGCTAGTCGAGGTGGCACCTCACATGCACACTGAGAGCTCGATATCCAAGCTCGGCGACAACAAGAAGATGCCCAAGGCGACGGCGAAGATGCTCAAGGAAAGATAGAAGGGAGGCTATGGGTATCAGATGAGCATCAACACGAGCATGACTTGGGGCGCGGCTCAAGTCTTTGGCATAGCAAATCAGAAGCATGCTGTGTAGAAGAGTTCGATTTACCATGTTTCACTTCCAACGGTTCGCTTTACAAATCATGTCATTTTTCGGCATGCGTGGTTTGTGGTACATAGCAATGTTTGCTATCTCGGAATGCCTTGCGCATAAGGCTGCGATGTTCATATGATACTGATTTTGCGAGATCGAGGAAAAGGCGTTATGGAGGAAGAAGGATGGTTTACTGTGTTCGATATGATACCCCATTTCCTATTTGTTTGGGTCAGGCACTTTCGGCTTTTAGCGTAGCATAATGCATGGAAGACTTCAAGTGCAGCAATATCTACATCTTGGTACCGTGAAATGACATGAACTCTTGTGTGGTTGTAGTTAAGAATGAGTCTTGGGGCGGTTAATATAGGTGGAAACCGGCCGGGAGTACAAAGCATGCGTTCGAAGGTTCTTTATGCTGCGTTTCCACGATAAGTAAAAAGCATATGTACGTAGCGAAGCAAGTAGCTGCGAATACCTTGAAGCGTTGCGATAAGTTAAGGTACGTTTGACCCTTGGTATGAGAATGAATCCCGGGATTTCATTCTATTCAAAGATATCAAGTTCACTTCATACCGCCTGACTAGCCCACGACATCTAGATACTCCACTACGGCTCATGTTGTATGCTTCAAACGGGTATATTGCAGTACGTATCTATGTTTCAACCTTCGCGGTAGTCGTATCGCACACCGCAGACTTGGTTAGAGTGCAGCTAGAGACTTCGTCGCGACTTGTATCGTATGCTTCAAAAGGGTATATTGAAGTATGTATCGATGTCTTAACCTTCGTGGTAGTCGCATCGCACACCGCAGATTCAATCGGAATACAGCTAGAAACGTCGGTATGACCTATATCGTATGCTTCAAACGGATGTGTTGAAGCATGTATCTGTGCCTTAACCTTCGCGGTAGTCTCAACGCATACCGCGGATTTGGTCGGAATGCAGCTAGAAACGCCGACATAACCCATATCGTATGCTTCAAACCTGTGCATTACCTAGGATATATACTTCCGTATCTGTGCTAATGTAGTAGGCAAGGCCGACATATTCCAAGCTAACAATGTCCATAATACACCGTCCGATCAGCAAGATAGCAGCCAGAAACCGGATCATGACCTATATCGTGTGCTTCACACGTATACATCAGAATGTATTCCTCCGTATCCACTTCGATGTAGTAGCCTGAGTCAAAATATTCCAAGCCAAGAAAGCCCATAATACACCGTCCGATCAGCAAGATGGCAGCCAGAAACCGAATGATAACCTGCACCGTGTTCTCCAAAGCGATACATGGAAGTACAGATCTACTTTGTAGTCTTAGAGTAGTCGCCTGGGCCTATTACCGCAGCGCGCACTACAAAGAAGTTGATGGGGGTAAGATGGCAACACCGTTCGCTGAGAGGCTATCAGAGGCCTCTCGACTGCTTTCGCAGCGTCTTTTCGGTGTTGTACGCTATGGATCGGCTGTGTGAGCGATGTGGGTAGGTGGATGTTTCACGCTTTTACTGCAAAGCAAAGTGATCCTTTGGTGCGAGTGAGCAGCATGTAATGAGCTTACATGTTGCAGCTACTTCTGATAGCCCTCTTGTTGACGTTGGTGGTGATGTTGGCGGGTGTTGCTGCGGTCGTGGCCGAGATGGAAGGAACGACCTTTTGACAGACTCAGAATTTGACATCAATCACACTCTGTTGGGCTAACAGCCCATAGTCAGCTGTCATACCTCTGACAGCTTTCCGCAGGTGTTTAGAGAAATGCGCTTTTTGGTTGTATGCGACATGGTAGTATGATACGAGGTGTGGCGTTTCTTACGCCCTCGCACGAGCGCCGTGGGGCCTGCGCAACCTTCAATCTCGTTTCCAGGAATCGCGACGCCGCATTCAGTATGCAACTGGAGTTGATTCTAGCTTTTTGATGCTTTTTGCGATGCGAGTACCGAAGAGAAAGACTTGTCTAGAAGGATACTAGCCTATTGTTTGGTGATCACTGCTCTGTCCGTGATGATTTTGTGACTCGAGTTGGTGGAGCCGAGGAAGTTGGAACCGGTTTCAGCAGGCCTTCTGCTATGGTTGAGCCCTACACTGGTGTACGACTTGCTACATATACGCTATCATAGCACTTGTAGGTGCCTCGCCGATCAAATAGGATGCCGCGGAATACCTGGCTTAAGGCTGTTGTCGGCAGATGCAAAAGGCGGTTGTCGCGTGTACTCAATGCTCGTACCACCGAACCGGAGCTGAATTGGGCGGCTGACGTCGCAAGTCAGATAGTGTAGGAAGGGTTGGTATTGGTGCACGATACGGTGCGCTGTCACCGGCGAAAGATACATGCGCTGGTGATGACACTGCCAGGCCTCATGTCGGAGATGCAAGTTTCCAGCATGCTGTATAGACTGCGACAACCGCTCACAACACTACCCACTGGCACCTTCGACGTGGATGTATTCGGCAAACCTTTTATCCTACCTTTGAATAAACTCGTAGCTTCTCTATTAGTCGCCTTGCTTATACCTAGATCTACTATCTTTAGACGGTTTCTAGCATACGAAGTATGTCGAGAAGCTCGTGCACCAGCGTGCAACCTACACCAGCATATATCCCATACTCCAGAACTATCCCGGGGCTCTTCACGAGCTTGTTTTGCTTGTAGGCCTTCGTAGGATCAGCTTGGGCAAACATGCAACCGCCAAGTACCGTGCCGTCACGCGCGGTGTTTGTGTCCCATATGCTAGCAGTCCAAGGCACAAGGTCGGGTCGCATCTGCCGCAAGAAGATGTACGTGTCCTTGATAACCTTCTGTCGGAAAGGCATGTTGTTGTACAGCTTTGAAGCGCAGACGAGTTCGATGTAGTCGTCGCCCCTCGGCTCCGGTTCGGTGTGGTCTTCGTTGTGGACATCTGAGGAGAGGAGGATAGGTGCGTTGACGGTCCCCATCCGCTGGCGCTTTCGCGGCGGCGCGGGCGACGGGGGAGGAGATGAGTGGTGGATAGGCTCCGTGCCCGCACCGTTTCGGTCTTCGCTATCAGCATGCACTGGAAGAATCTTCTGGTTGACTTCTAGTGCTAGGGGAGGCAGCGTCTCAGGCAATGTAATGCCGGCCCATATTGTATCGAACGCTCGCAGCCTTTGCTCGGTGGCGTGCAACTCTCGGTATTTCGTTCCTTCCAAGGTTAGGGACGCTTGCACCTGCTAATATGGAAGCTCACTTGGCGGAAGTAAACACCAGCGAGGCGGCTACAAAGACGTCGGCGTCGGTTTTCGAGAGTGCAATGCGCACACAAGCTGACTACATGCACAGTGGAGGAATCAGTGGAGGTTGCCGTGGATTGATGTAGTAATTTGGCGTTCTATTGAATTAGTGCACGATTGTATTCAAGACTATGGGTGCGGTATCTTCGCATCGTACCCTTGCGATGAAGGGAGGCAGCTGCGATAGAGAGCGTTCCTTCCCAGAACCCTGATCTCAGTTCCAGCTCTATAAAACACTCGGGATGAATAAGCGCATGGACAATAGCCCCGGAATGCTGGTGATAATGGTATACTTCTCTACTTCAGCCCTCTTCATCTGAATTCCTGGCAAGTCTTCTGTAGCCATCCGATGTATCTACAGGCGACACAAGATGCCCAAATAAGACCGAATAAACTTTCGTAGCACGCAACGACGTCTCCTTGGAGCATGGTTGGGTGACCGGAGGATGACAAGCTGAGCTGTAAGATGGTAGAAACGGCAGGCGCAAATGCACACGCATGCGGCACCGGTCTACCCAAACAAGTTCGCAATATCGCGGCTCTCGGCATGTCGTTTTCGTGAAGGAAGCGCATCCCACAATCTCGCCATCGATCCTACGTTCTCGAACAGCGCGGCACGCATCGCGCGAGCCACGCGTCAACCCTCACCCAAGCAAAAAAGCAATATATCCACTCGCCTACCCAAGTTCTGCAAACGGCATCAGGAATGGATGTACGCGCCGTGACTAAAACAAAGGGTCGCAAGAGCCGAGATGCCGTCAATTTATTGTTAGGTTGGACGAAAGATTACGCGTTCGGTTATTGGCGGTTGTTGGCGTTCTTGGGGCATGCACGGGCGGATGAATGGGTGGGGGGCCACATGCCAGGCACGAGTTGCGGCAGGGTAAGGCGGCCTGTGTAATTTCCCGGTGCAGGGTCTCAGGGGCGACCCGACTTGAACGATGGTTCGCGTGCGAGGATCAAGGTAAAGAAGGAAAGATTGTCAAGACGTCAGTACATTAGATATTTTTGGAGGTGAGGGTATCGGCTGTCGCAAGAGGAAGCATGTCGAAGTTACGATCAAAATGCATTGATGGTAAAATATGTACAGAAGGGTATCAGGTAGACAGTCAAGTCGTAGAGTAAAGGTGGAAATCATGTCATTAAGATAGCCAACTCTTCTCAGAACAGGCAAAGAGTCTAGGAACAAAAAAGACCACCGGGGACCACACGACTCCCTCCATAGGGCCAGTAAGCATTCCAACCAAGGCGTATTACAATACCAAGTATATCGATCCATCGAAATGCCGCTGCGACTTGATTGCGCAAGGAAGCAAAGGGCTCGTACCACTAACACCGCGCTCCCAATCCTAGACTGAATCGTGATGCAGAGTCGAAGTCGTAACCCGTGAAGCCATGTTTAATTTCCTCCTCTTTCCACAACTCGAGAAGAGACTAGCTAGGCCATGGAAGACCATGACCCGACGAATCACTCAAGAGCGAACCGCTTACAAGAAAGCAGCGAGGGCACCAGCGATGGCGAAGAAGCCAACGGAGACCTTGCCGGCGGCACCGGTGAACTCAGCGGGCTTGGAGGCGCTGGGCATAGCACCAGTGCCAGTAGGAGCAGCAGTTCCGGCAGGGACGTGGGGAACGGTGCCGTTGGAGGAGGGGTAGATGGGAGAAACCGGGGTGTAGGCAGGCGCAGTGTGCTCAGCAGCCGGGACGGAAGCAGAGGTGACAGTGGGCATGGGGACAGCCGGGATCTCGGGGGTAGGGGTGTGGACGTAGGTAGCAGTGTACTCAGGGATGCTGAGGGTGGTGCTGGAGGAGATGGTGTAGGTGGAGACACCGTAGGTGATGGTGGTGGGCTCAGGGCAGACGTAGCTGGTGGCGTGGACAACCTCGGTGGTGGTGTAGGCGGGCTTGGAGGCAGAGTAGACGGGAGCCATGGAGCTGGCCTCGTAGGCGGGCTTGGAAGCCTCCATGGAAGCGGAGGGGGTCTCAGCGGGGTAAGACGGGTACTCAGCAGCGGAGGAGGTAGCGGCCTCGTAGGCGGGCATGGAGCTGGAGGCCTCGGGGGTCTCAGCAGGGTAGGCGGGGTACTCAGCAGCGGCGGAGGAAGAGGCCGGGGCAGCAGGGTAAGCCTCGTAAGCCTGGGGAGCGGCAAGGGCAACGGCGGCGAAGCCAGCAATGACGGCGAAGGAACGCATCTTGATGTTTGGTTTGGGGGGGGTGGTATTAAAATACGGAAGGGTATTAAGTTGTAAGGCGTTGGAGGTCGTTGAAAACGAGTGTGATCGGTGATAACCGTGTATTAGTGAGTGTAGTGAGTGTGTGGTGAGGAATCAACTGAGGAGCAGCTGGCGAAGCCATTATATAGAACTATACACGAGCTGGCCTTACCAAGAGCGCCAGCGTCCATGAACAGGGGGCATTGGCGTAGTTGCATTCGGTTGGCAGTATCGCGAGGGCTCTGGCGTGCCGGTGGCGCCGTTTGGTGGACTGTGCCTGGGATAGTACGAAATAGGGGAACCTGTGGAAAGCTTCGACCTGGGCCGTTGTGAGCTGTTTATTGATGGAAGTCGAGCGGGCCAATCAAAAGGTGGATTGCGTGCAGAAACGAAATGAGGTTGACAATTTCCCCTGCCAAGGGGCCTTGCCGCCCCAACACATCGCCCGTCGTTCTAGCTGCTTTTGCCGCAAGCGTTCGATTTGTGCACGCGGAACATGTTCAATCGCCCGGTAGGTACCTATCTCCGGTTCGTGATCCGCACCTGCATGTCAGCTCTGAGCAGACAAGAAGCCGCGCGACTGTATCGAGGTGTAAGACACACTGGCAGCTGGCATTGGCGCCGAGCCGCTGACTGTGACAAAGAACACCTGAACAGAGCGACGATTAGGGGCTCCTTGCCAGAGGCACTGGAATCCCGATCAGAGTGGAGATGGGTAATCGTGACAGCATCTGGAGCAATCCCCGCGTCTGAGCAAAAATAGCTTCGCTGATAGGAGATGGGCCAGATTGGACCGGTCTGATGCTGGCGAGGTCGTTGGTTCACGATGGACTGGGGACGTGCGGGTTCCTGCATTGCCCTTGCATCTAGACCTCGACTAGATCCAGCGAAGGGCCGACAGCCCGTCCAGTGTTGCGAACTATTGTAGCCATCGAGATGTAGCGGAAAGCTGTTGCCGGAGCTGCTGTGATCTCGAAGGTCGGCCAGCTTTCAGCTCTGTCTCAGCTCTTGTCATACGGGGGCTCTTCTTGCGAGAGTCATCCACCCACAGTGTTCCTTGCAACAGTCGTAACGCAATCTCGCATCCAGCATTCCTCAGGAGAGGCGCATGAGCTTAGTGAGCGCCACAATGGTAGTCGCATGTCACGCATTAAGCGCGGCACCTGCTTGGGCGCAGGTGTTTCGTCGGAGAACGAATGACGCGCTGCTCAACACGAAGAATCCCGATCCTTCCGCGTTATCATATCCCACAAATAGTGATCATTTCCGCGCAGAGCTAGAGAGCGTCGCGTCGATAAAGGGCGAGGCGTAGTGTGGTGTTAGTGAGTGCTACGGTGAGCGAGAGTGGGTGTTCCTGTCGCTTCTAGCCCGTCCCGCCGAAGTGTTGCCGGTCGGGCAAGAGCCCCTCGGTACCACGCTGCCTTTGACTTTGCTAACACAACAACTTCTCCTCACCACCTCGCCGCACAATCAGTACTATGCATCACCGAAAGGCACAATAGCCAGAGATTCCACATCTTTGTCGCGAGCTTCTCGCAATTTTCCGAGAGGGACCAAGCTTGTCGTCTCGACCCCCGCGAAGGAACGACTGCCTGACTGGATTAGATGAAAGCTGCGCAACTCTATCAAATTCGATAGCAAGATGCCAAAATCATCAGGCGCTGTGCCGAAGGGGTGGGATGGGCAAACCATCTACCTTCACGCACCTTCATATTCCAAGAAGCTTTGTAGAGACAAAGTTAGCGCACTTATATTGCCAAAGTCCGATCTACCACCCGATACACAGGTTTACAAGCCGAATGGGCCGTACTCGAACGTCAAGATCACACCCGTCACGGACTCTGCGCATCCTGCACACGGACAGCATGCGCTTTATGCTAACCAGCATCTGCCACCAGACTCGTTCATTCTGCCGTACTTGGGCTATGTGCACGATCAGACTGACATTGATGAAGCATCCGACTACGACCTCTCACTCGACCGCGAACTAGGCATCGGCGTTGATGCATCCAAAATGGGCAACGAAGCACGCTTCATCAACGACTACCGAGGCGTCGCTGCCGCACCGGTCGCCGAGTTTCGCGACATATTTGTAGACATCGGGAACGGGAAGGTGGAGAAGAGAGTCGGAGTCTTCGTGCTCAGCGCTGGCAAAAGCGGAAAGAGAGCGAAGGGCATCGGACGTGGGCAAGAGATTCTCGTCAGCTACGGCAAAGGGTTCTGGTCAGATCGACACTCTACTGAAGAGTGACACGCCTGTACCACACCGCTCTCATGTCTTGCAACATACCGCATCACTTTCATATACATCCGCTAAATGCCGGTACACGCTTGCTTTTCGGTCAATCCCTTCCGCAGCGACCGGGCGTCGATTGACGACGCCGTATGATCTGCGCGGTCAGGCCCTCGATCTTCTAAGACCAACCCCGACCAGGCAGTGAGGTGTTTGTGCCGTACGCGTATCATGCGGAG